CCTTTGGCGAGAACGACCTTCCTCATCCACTCCAGTGACACTATTTATTAATTCCATGGCTACATCATGATGGGATGAAAACTGCTGCATGCTCTCTCGGCTGGAAAGGATTGGAAAAAAATTAATAGAACAGTTATCACTAAGAGCATTCTTGCAGAATTTTCGTTGGTAAAAAGAAAAAAAACAGTAAACAGTTCATTTGTAACGGTATAATCGACTAACAGAACAGTTGCAATTTGGCCACATGATGCAAAACAGCTTGTTCAGAGTCTGATGAAACACTTCTCTGCCAATACATATGGAAAATGGAATATACTTGTGTCGTTCATTTTTTAGACGGGACAACACAATATCAACACCTATGATGTTGCAGAATTGCAGTAAAATTGCATGCCAATTGCCGCTACCCTGATAGGAAACACGAAATGACACTAGAATAGCTGATCAGTAATATGTAGTACTATTTCAGCAGCTAACAACCAAAACAGAGCAACGACTCGAATGCACAATTCACATACTAGATGGCATGGGCCCCAACGTGAAGCGATCAAACAACATATTTGGATTCCATTATCCAAATGGCTCGGTACTAGGACGACCCAAGGCAAACAGCCTAACCAAGTCCCGGCGATATGCAGTACTGAATGGAGTGACATCATGGCACAAGGACGCGCGTCTGCACGAACCTGGACGAAGAACCCTCAGCATCGGCGGATCCGACCCCGTCCCCCTCCCCAACGCCTCCGCCCCCGTCCGCCTCGCCGTCCTCCTTGATCTCACCGACGAGCTGCCGCGTGGTGAACGGCTGGGACCCCTCGGCGCCCAGCGCCGCCTTGGCCTCCTCCTGCTTGGCCGTGGCCGATCGTGGCGGCTCCTCCTCTTCCTCCCCCGCCTCGTCCTCCACCTCCACCGCCGCCCTGTCGTCCGCGGGTACGGGCCGCGTGGGCTCCTCCATGGCACGAGCCGATCGGCGTCGGGTCCACGATCTGGGGCGGAGGCGCGGCGCGAGCGTTGGCGGTCTCACTGCGCACTCTCCTCTCGTGTCTCGCCTCGCGCCACACGGTCGCGTACGACCGGGCAAACGGAAAGGGTAGCGATCGCCGAGGCCGAGGCCGAGGCGGGCGGGCGCGACTCAGCAAGCTGACGTGCCGAAATGCTGCTGACGGGCCGACGGCCGAGGGTTGAGGCCCAAGGGAGGAAACGGCCCAGGGCCGCCGCGCGAGGGGCATTTTGGGAAAGAAGGCCGCGACGGGGTGCGGGAGGGGCCGGACGCGCCGGGCTCAAATACAGCAGACTCCGGCGCCACCGCGCACGCACGCACGCACGCGGAGCGGGGGGCTGTCCAAAGCGCGTGATCCATTTCCTCCTCCTCTCTCGGTGCGTGCGCCACTCCGTCGGCCCGCCCGTCCCCCTCACCGGCGACTTCTCGCCTCGCGGCCGCTCCCAGGTGAGTGAGAGCGACCCGACGGCCAACCAACAGCGCCTCAACCGCTTTTCTCCCGACGACGTGTCGTGGATCTAGGCGTACACCGAAGAGGACTGATTTTTTTTGGGATTGTTTTTATTTGGTGGCGTGGAATTCGTGGCCTCTCCTCCTCAGGGCAGCGTGGGCGCGTGTGTTGCGAGCCATGGCCGGCGAGAAGAAGATGTTCGGCTTCGAGGAGGTCGCCAAGCACAACGTCGCCAAGGACTGCTGGCTCGTCATCGCCGGCAAGGTATGCTTCCCTGCTCGCTACCACTCCTTCGTTTTCCTACCCTAGCATCTACTTCTCCTGCGAGTTCTGTGGCTAGTCCTCTTGTTCCGGCGCAGGCTTCGCCTGCAAAGCCTGTTGCGCTAGATAACACTTCTAGATGCTAGGCTTCTTCTCGAGGAAAAACTGAGTCTGCTGGGGCGCTGGGCTCGTGGAATTTGAGTATTCTTGTTGAGCTTGCTCAAGTCAATTCCGCCCAATCAGATCTGTTCGTCAACAGAGATGTTCTCTGACCAAACACATAGTCCTATGAGGACAAATAGCAAGTGATTTGTTTTAAGCCTGCGTTCCAATTCCAGACCAGTTACAGCCTTCTAGCCTTTGGTGCACTCCATGCTGTTACATGCACCTTCTGCAATATTGTACATAGATCGGTCGACTCGTACAAGATCCGCCTTGCGTGTCGCATATCAGGATTTCATTCTTGACGAGGTGCTGAGGGAAAGGTATTCCAGCAAAATCTTATCAACTGGACAGCTCTTTCATAGGATCAAGTACAAGTATGGGGAGACAGTGAAGAAAAGCTGCTTCCTCTTCTGCAATGTGCATATTAACTAGTCATGGTGGAAGGAAATGAGTCAATTAAGATGTATCAGGGCGATTGATTCACATGCACGTGGTTGATGCTGGGTAGCCCCACCAAAATGGTGTCTCTGCAGTATGTGTGGCCGATATGTTTGTTGGTACCCATTTCAATTGTGTGACCTTGAATGTTCCAGTGTGGCATGTATGGCCATACGGTCTAGAGTTTTCTCTGCACCCAGTGGGTTAGATTTCGTTGGAGTAAAAGAAATACCCAGCAGGAATTGAGAAATTTACCTGACGAAATTCCTGTTATGTGTGATGCAAAATATGCCTGACTATATCAGCTCATGTTGTGTAACATTTCAGGTGTATGATGTTACCCCTTTCATGGATGAGCATCCTGGTGGAGATGAGGTACTGCTGGCAGTAACCGGTGAGTCATTTTCGTTGTATTTATAATTGTGGATGAGACTAAGTTCAAAAGTCTTGCGCAGTTTCGATTTTAATATTCAAACCTGATCACTACTCCAATATAACCAGGGAAAGATGCAACCAGCGATTTCGAAGATATCGGACACAGTGATTCCGCAAGGGAGATGATGGAGAAGTACCACATCGGGGAAATTGATGCTTCAACCATCCCAGCAAAGCGTACATTTGTACCTCCTCAGCAAGGGTCCCATGTCCAGGCCAAGGATAGCGACCTCCTCATCAAGATCCTGCAGTTTCTTGTTCCCATTTTAATCTTGGGGCTTGCATTTGGTATCCGGCACTACAGCAAATCTGAGTAGGCTGTTGTTGGCGAGTTGCTTCGGAGAAATAGCTTTCAAGTAATATGGTTTGAGTTAGAACAACATAATAATGGTATTGGTTGGCTGGTTTGAGTTAGAACAACATAATGATGGTACTCGTTGGGTGGCAGTGTGTTGTCTCATTGATCATACAAGGCACTCTCAATTTGAAACATCCATATGTATGCCCAGATTACTCGAATTATGTTTACATTCTCAACATATGGTGGAGTCTCTACATATTTTTTTAGCTGATGGAGTGTCTACAATTGAGGATGGTGGGAATATTGCTATGCTATTAAACAATGTCAATTTCAGAATAAATATGGACATCATACATTGCAGTGATGTTCCCACATAATTTGTCTGTCCGTTTCACTATATATTGAGCATATTCTTGCAGTTATACACGCCTAAAAGAGTTGAGCAGCACTTATAAAGCATGCAAGTGACAGCCTGGGCCAGTTGATCAATTCGATTATCGGAAATTCCATGTTTATTTTATGAAGGCAGAATCCCTTCCTGAATACACCCTCTGCAGTAACTGAACTAAACGTCTTTCAGGACATTGAGATATATTTCCCTCCACACCACCCTTGAGGCACAAGGCTTTTTTCTAGTTACAAATACACTGCAAGACCAAATTGTATCCAGCATCCACAGTCCAAGAAGTAGCAACAGATGACAAGATCCACAAATCTGCTCTGTGCAAAGAACAGTCACATGCAGAGAGAGGGCACACCAAAAAACAAGACCAAAAATGTTTCTATCCATAACCTCATACAAGATATTGTATATAACAGACATATGATAACGTGATAACTGCCAGGACCAATCATACAAATATAAGCATGGGCAGATCCCAGCTACTCGATCCTGTCTTGTACGGTCACCACTAAATCATGGGCGTCGTCCAGGAGCTTCCAAATGTCCAGCTGCCCCGCCATGCTGTTACAGTCCCTAATGATCTCATCCATGCTGCTATAGCTCTCTATTATCAATTTCCTCTTCTCCAGTACACTGGCTGCAATCGCATACAGCAGCAGGTCATCAGTTGGAGGGGCTCCAAGCCGAAGTTTTCCCCAGGACGATCGTGCGATCCCAGCACGCCTCGCTGCCTGGTCGGCCCACATCACCTCCCACAGGCTGAGGGTCTGCTCGAAGGTGAGCTCCCTCCGGAACATCACAACCACCATTCTATAGACGAAGAAGCAGTCTGCCGCTTCAAGCATCTCCAAGTGCCTGTAAAGATGGAAGTCCTTGGTTTTTATTATCTTGGAGACCATGTTGAGTTGCCTGCGAATACCCACTTCGTCGAGTCTGAAGTTGTGGCGGGCTTTCCTCATGAAACCGGCAAAGCACCAGAAGGCTTCATCGTCTTCCTCCAGCACAGCAATGAGAGGTGCAAGGAGGTCACTCATGCCCTGGCAATAACCGATTTCTGGGTCATAGGTTGCGTACGCCTCAAGTATTGCAACAAGGCGTGACGCATGATGGATCCTATGTGCTTCCAAGTGGTCATAGTCTTTGAGACAAACAGCTGAAGCAGAGTCAATTGCCTTCTCCCTGGTAACCGCAGCTTGCAATGGAGAGTAGGAAACCCATTCATTATTAGCACGAACTGCATCCAAACGAATTATCCGTTGCCATGTCTCAAAATCCTCAACTGTCCGTGCAGACTTCACAGGACGGGCATCCTTAGATAACTTAGTTTCAGCTTCTATATTTCCTCCTGCGTTTGAATATTTGGGCAGGGGCATACTTTCTTCTTCATCCTCAACTGAAGACTGGTCCACAGAGGCGACATCATCACGAGACGCTTCCACATGGGTCACATCACTTTTCTGACTCTCATCCTCATCGCGTGAACTAGATGAACAGAGGCTTTCATCCGCCTGATTCTCTGGAATTGCTTTACCTGTCTTATCCTGCATTTCTTGCTCTGAAATGACACAAGGATTTTCTTCCTCACTCGTGATATGATCATCCACGCTTACTTTTTCAGGTTCTTCGGATCCAACAGAAGTAACAGATTCTTTGACTTTGCCAGAACTAATGCTCTCTTTGCGGTTGATTGATCGCTTGCTTTCTTCATTGTTTTTTCGCAGGCAATGTTTCCTCAAGAGCATATATCCCTTCCTACATAAATCATCCAATACTGTCATGTTTTACACTAGACCCCATGAAAATAACATTTGCAAACACTTAAGTGTTCCTTAATTAAGGGGCAATGTGTTTCTGTAGTGGTAAAGAAATATAGTGAGACTGTGGACAAACATGGACTGGAGTCATGAAACATAGATGGTTGAAAAAATGGTGTACCTGTTATGGGCCTTAATTGCTTCCCTTTCAGCTTCTGAACTATTCAGGCTATAACTGCACGAGAGTCAAAAATTCCAATTACTCGAGGCAAACACTCTGACTACCAAAAAAAAAACACATGTGACTAAGTACATAAAATTTCCACGATGTACTCCCTCAGTCCCATGATATAAGAGCGTTTTTTACACTAGTGTAGTGTAAAAAACGCTCTTATATTATGGGACGGAGGGGGTATCTCTTACTGTGATAAGATATCAAGTCATGCTGTGCCTACCAGAGAAGGGCTGAACTATGTGCAAATTTGGTGTATTCATAAGTTTTCCTTCATCTACTTAGTTTAGAATCAATCTAAAACTGCACGCAATAGTTTTGATACTACAAATGGACAGGAGCGGGGGAAAGGTGGCCTGGGAAAATCCTGTGGAAAACACTAATTTCCACATTTACATACTAACAAAAGTACAAAAGTGAGTATGCCTCTCTTAAGTTGGCCCTATCTATGGTTCTGTTCAAGTCCCAAAACTGAAGCAATTAATTATGAAGTATAAAGCCTCACTCACATGCAGAAAAGATGAATCATGTCAAAAAAGGAACATCAACTGAATCCGTTGCTAAAAATACAAAACGATGTTAGCATGAGTTCCTGATGTGCAAGTATCTCGTGGATCTAACTATACATCTGCAAGCATAGCTACATCTGTCCTCGGATCACAATGTCTAGAGTACTTACACTCCCAGAAGGAACGGCCAGACCTCTGCTCTGATGCTCGGCTCAACCCCCTGTCACGAAAGCAGACAGCTCAATATGATGGCTTCCTAAGCTACATCAGGAACTCACAAGATAGCAAGGAAATACTGTAACAAACAAACTAAGCTTCACTATATCTTACTCCGTTCCGAACTCTCTTCAGTAGCTTGACGCCGCCGTCGTAAAACTTCCCCTCCGGCGTGAACAAGCTGCGCCATTCCTTGGGCCCAAGCGCGCGCTTCCTCCGCCGCCGCCACGGCGATTTGATCCCGCCCCTGCATCCAGAGCGCGCGTATGCAACTAAGGGGACGAAGCACAGGACCGCCTTTAGCAGAAGGGGGTGAGGGTTTGGGTCTGGTGGTGGCGAACCTGCGGGAGGAGACGACGATGGCGACTAGCGCGATGCCGGCCGCGGCCGTGACCCCGACGGCGACGGCGGTGTTCCAGCGACCGCCATTCGCGCCGGCGGGGCCGAGGAGGCCGGCGATGGCGCGCTCGGCGAGGCCCCACGCCCACATCGGGCGCAGATGCCCCCCTGATCGCTCCACGGCTCCCCTCCGGTTCTCCCCCCGCCGGCCGCCGGCGCCGCGATCCCCCAGCTCTGCTTCCTTCGATCGATTGGGATTCCGGCCTCCGGGTTTCTCCTTTTTGCTCTTCCTTTATTTTCTTCCTCTCTCTGCAATTCTCGCTGTCCAGTCTCACGATTTCGACGAAAGTGGTGCGTGCGTGCGTCACCGATCGATCGGGCCGTGTTCGTGGGCCCCACGAGCCGGGTTCGGGTCGGTGTACACGTCGTTTGGACGTTTGGTTCCTACCGATCGAACGAAAGTGCTTCACACACTTTGGCCATGCTGAAACGATGGCTAAGGCTACTTCCAATACATTGGCACATTAAAAACTTTAACAACTAAAACCCCAAGTATAGGTTTTTAACTTTCATTTAATGATTTTGTAACTAAAGTTTTTTATGCATTGGTGGACTTTTTTCCATTTGAGTGTTTTGCCTAGGTTATCGTGCTTGTCATTGTTTCTTCCTGGGTCACCACACTCATCTCTTTCTTTTTAATTATCTTGCCACATTAGTTTTTTTTTGCCTACATGGCAGGCTTAGCATCTATACAAGGTGGAGCACTGGGAGAGGCCTAATCCAACCGGCAGTGGTTGTTTAGCCTTGCGCTTGGATGGTGGGACATGACATGTCATCTGTGTTTCGTAACTGTCGTGTGTGAAGCACTGCTCCCGATCGAATGAAACAACTTTGAAAAAAACCCTAAAAATGGATTTCCTGGTTCTTTTTTGGGAAACGTTTGCGTACGACATACCGGCCGAACGCTCGACCGGTCCATCACGCGTCATCTGATGTGACTAGATCGAGCGGCTCGCATCTCGTGTCGCATCCTTATCCCCTCGCCCCCTGCACAAGTTCCTGGCCACACGCGAGCTCTCTTCTCTCCCCCGAGCGACCTCCTCCTCCTCCTCATCTCCCTCTCTCGTGAGCGGAGGGCGACCACCGGTCGCCGTCGTTGAGGACGGCCACCTGATGCTGCGAGCATCTTTCTTTCCCCCGGTGCTTCTACGAGCATCTCGTCTCCCAGTCAAGCTACTCATCGCCGCCGTGGAGAGACAACGTCACACGTGATCCCCCCGCACCCGCGGATGCTGCATGGTTCCGTCGGTGGTGCCGCATCGCCGGGGAGGCCCTCGAGTTGGTGCTGCAAGGGGAGGCGCTGGTGGCCATGGGGGCTGCTACGAGACGGCTGTTGGGGAACGTAGTAAACTCAAAAAATTTCCTACGCACACGCAAATTCATGGTGATGCATAGCAACGAGAGGGGAGAGTGGGGGGGGGGGGCGCCCCTTCCCCTTGTCCAAATCGGATTGGGGCAAGGGGGGCCGCGTGTCACCTCCTGCTGCCCTCTCTCTTCTCCACTAAGGCCCATAAGGCCCAATAGCTTCCCAGGGGGTTCCGGTAACCCCCGGTACTCCTGTATATGTCTGAAACCTCCCGGAACCCTTCCGATGTCCGAACATAGTCATCCAATATATTGATCTTTACGTCTCGACCATTTCGAGACTCCTCGTCATATCCGTGATCATATCCGGGACTCCGAACTACCTTCGGTACATCAAAACACACAAAAACTCATAATACTGATCGTCACAGAACTTTAAGCGTGCGGACCCTACGGGTTCGAGAACTATGTAGACATGACCGAGACACGTCTCCGGTCAATAACCAATAGCGGAACCTGGATGCTCATATTGGTTCCTACATATTCTACGAAGATCTTTATCGGTCAAACCGCATGGCAATATACGTTGTTCCCTTTGTCATCGATATGTTACTTGCCCGAGTTTCGATCGTCGGTATCTCAATACCTAGCTCAATCTCGTTACCGACAAGTCTCTTTACTCGTTCTGTAATGCATCATCCCACACCTAACTCATTAGTTGCATTGCTTGTAAGGCTTATAGTGATGTGCATTACCGAGAGGGCCCAGAGATACCTCTCCGACAATCGGAGTGACAAATCCTAGTCTCGATCTATGCCAACTCAACAAGTACCATCGGAGACACCTGTAGAGCACCTTTATAATCACCCAGTTACGTTGTGACGTTTGGTAGCACACAAATTGTTCCTCCGGTATTCGGGAGTTGCATAATCTCATACTCAAAGGAACATGTATAAGTCATGAAGAAAGCAGTAGCAACAAACTAAACGATCATCGTGCTAAGCTAACGGATGGGTCAAGTCAATCACATCATTCTCTAATGATGTGATCCCATTCATCAAACGACAACTCTTGTCCATGGCTAGGAAACTTAACCATCTTTGATTAACGAGCTAGCCAAGTAGAGGCATACTAGTGACACTTAGTTTGTCTATGTATTCACACATGTACTAAGTTTCCGGTTAATACAATTCTAGCATGAATAATAAACTTTTATCATGATATAAGGAAATAAATAATAACTTTCTTATTGCCTCTAGGGGATATTTCCTTCAGTCTCCCACTTGCACTAGAGTCAATAATCTAGTTCACATCGTCATGTGATTTAACAGCAATAGTTCACATCTTTATGTGATTAGTTCACATCTTCATGTGACCAACACCCAAAGGGTTTACTAGAGTCAATAATCTAGTTCACATCGCTATGTGATTAACACCCAAAGAGTGATCATGTTTTGTTTGTGAGAGAAATTTATTCAACGGGTCTGCCACATTCAAAGCCGTATGTATTTTTGCAAATTTTCTGTGTTTACAATGCTTTGCACGAAGCTACTCTAGCTAATTCCTCCCACTCTCAATATGTATATAGATCGAGACTTAGAGTCATCCAGATCGGTGTCAAAGCTTGCATCGACGTAACTCTTTACGACGAATTCTTTGTCACCTCCATAACCGTGAAACATTTCCTTATTCCACTAAGGATATTTTTGACCGTTGTCCAGTGATCCATTCCTGGATCACTATTGTACCCTCTTGCCAAACTTATGGTGAGGCACACAATAGGTCTGGTATACAACATAGCATACTTTACTGAACCTATGACTGAGGCATAGGGAATGACTTTTCATTCTCTTTCTATTTTCTGCTGTAGTCAGGTTTTGAGTCTTTACTCAACTTCACACCTTGCAACACAGGCAAGAACTCCTTCTTTGACTATTTCATTTTGAACTACTTCAAAATCTTGTCAAGGTATGTACTCATTGAAAATATATCAAGCGTCTTGATCTATCTCTATAGATCTTGATGCTCAATATGTAAGTAGCTTCACCGAGGTCTTTCTTTGAAAAAATCCTTTCAAACACTCCTTTATGCTTTCCAGAAAATTCTACATTATTTTCGATCAACAATATGTCATTCACATATACTTATCAGAAATGTTGTAGTGCTCCCACTCACTTTTTGGTAAATACAGGCTTTACCGCAAGTCTGTATAAAACCATATGCTTTGATCACTTTATCAAAGCATATATTCCAACTCTGAGATGCTTGCACCAGTCCATAGATGGATCGCTGGAGCTTGCTCACTTTGTTAGTACCTTAGGGTCGACAAAACCTTCTAGTTGCATCATATACAACTCTTCTTTAAGAAATCCATTAAGGAATGCAGTTTTGTCATCCATTTGCCAGATTTCATAAAATGTGGCAACTGCTAACATGATTCGGACAGACTTTTAAGCATCGATACGAGTGAGAAAATCTCATCGTAGTCAACACCTTGAACTTGTCAAAAACATTTTGCACAATTCAAGCTTTGTAGATAATAACACTACTATCAGCGTCCGTCTTCCTCTTGAAGATCCATTTATTCTCAATGACTAACCGATCATCGAGCAAGTCAATCAAAGTCCATACTTTGTTCTCATACATGGATCCCATCTCAGATTTCATGGCCTAAAGCCATTTTGCGGAATCTGGGCTCATCATCGCTTCCTCATAGTTCGTAGGTTCGTCATGGTCAAGTAACATGACTTCCAGAACAAGATTGCCATACCACTCTGGTGCAGATCTTACTCTAGTTGACCTATGAGGTTTGGTAGTAACTTGATCTGAAGTTTCATGATCATCATCATTAGCTTCCTCACTAATTGGTGTAGAGATCACTAGAACTGATTTCTGTGATGAACTACTTTCCAGTTAGGGAGAAGGTACAATTACCTCATCAAGTTCTACATTCCTCACACTCACTTCTTTTGAGAGAAACTTCTTCTCTAGAAAGGATCCACTCTTAGCAACAAAGATCTTACCTTTCGGATCTTGTGATAGAAGGTGTACCCAACATTTTCTTTTTGCGTATCCTATGAAGACGCATTTCTCCGATTTGGGTTTGAGCTTATCAGGATGAAACTTTTTCACATAAGCATCGCAACCCCAAACTTTAAGAAACGACAACTTTGGTTTCTTGCCAAACCACAGTTCATATGGCGTCGTCTCAACGGATTTAGATGGTGCCCTATTAACGTGAATGCAGCTGTCTCTAATGCATAACCCCAAAATGATAGTGGTAAATCAGTAAGAGACATCATAGATCACACCATATCTAGTAAAATACAATTACGACGTTCGGACACACCATTACGCTGTGGTATTCCGGGTGGCATGAGTTGCGAAACTATTTCGCATTGTTTCAAATGAAGACCAAACTCGTAACTCAAATATTCACCTCCACGATCAGATCATAGAAACTTGATTTTCTTGTTACCATGATTTTCCACTTCACTCTGAAATTCTTTGAACTTTTCAAATGTTTCAGATTTATGTTTCATCAAGAAGATATACCCATATCTGCTCAAATCATCTGTGAAGGTCGAAAAATAACGATACCTGCCGCGAGCCTCAACACTCATCAGACTGCATACATCAGTATGTATTATTTCCAACAAGTTTGTTGCTCGCTCCATTGTTCCGAAGAACGGAGTTTTAGTCATCTTGCCCATGAGGCATGGTTCGCAAGCATCAACTAATTCATAATCAAGTGATTCCAAAAGCCCATCAGCATGGATTTTTCTT